CCCAAAGAATCCAAGACAATCTCCTCATCTTAAGATCCTTAATTTAGTCACATTTACAAAGTGCTTTTTTTGTTATTTAAGGTAGAATATTTACAGGCTCCCGGTTTTAGGATGTGGACATTTTTGCATGGTAAAAGAGAGTGTGGCCATTATTTAGCCTGTCACAGAAGCCAAAGCATCTACAGTTTGCAGGCACAGGAGCAGAGGAGACAGAACAAGGAAGGTTGCAGAGTGAGAGCACTACAGATCTGAGGGAACCCTGCAAGTATGCAGCAGAAAAGTCCTCTTGAGTATTCAACTAAGTGATGATCAATGCATGCAGGTCAGGAAACTTTCCAAAACTGAAGGGGAAATCAATAGAACAAGAGTGAATAAGCCTAGGGGCTCACACAGAGCTGAGAGTAGTACCTGCTCTCCTATCAACCTAAGAAGAAATATCTTAATTCAACGACATTGGGGAGAGTAGTTAGAAGGGTTTGCCTCAGTAGTAAGGCAAAATTGGCCCTAGATTAAACACTTCACTACTCTAGTCCTCCTAATCAAAGCTTAAAAGCAAGATTCATAAACATAAAAATAATTCCAGTAGCCCACCTCCCAGAATAAAGGTTCTGAATTTTTTGGAATAAAGAAATACCCAGTAGCCAAAGACAAAAAAAAAAAAAAAAAAAAATCAGAATGAAAGGCATCCAATAAAAAGTTCCCAGGTGTGCAGAGAATAAGAAATACACAGCCCACAATTAGGAGAAAGCCAATCAAGAAAAACTAATCCAGAAATTATTCAGATGGTAGAGTCAGTAGATAAGAACATTAAAACAATAATTAAAATTTTATCCCATGTGCTCAGGATATTACAGGAAAAATTAAACATCTGAAGTTGAAACATGAATGATGTAAAAAAGATGTAAATTAAACTGCTAGAAATGAAAACATATTACCTGAGATTAAAAATATGCTGAATAGGTTTAACAACCTATCACATGAAGAAGAAAAGATTAGTGAACTTGAAGACATAGCAATAGAAACTATCTAAAATGAAACACAGAGAAAAAATAATTTAAAAACAAGAAAAGAGTTGTGAGTTGTGAGACAACCTCAAGTGACCTAAGATTTGTGGAATTTCAGTTCCCAAAGAGATGGTGAGGAGTGAAGAAAAAATATTTGAAAAAATGGATGAAAATTTTCCAAATTTGATACACACTATAAACCTATAGACCCAAGAATCTGAGAAAACCCAAGCAAATACATCAAGGCACATCATCATCAAATTACTTAAAACCAGAGATAAAGTTTTCAAATGAGACAGACAAAAATGTCACATTATATAAATAAGAAGAAAAATAAAGATGACAGCAGATTTCTCACTGACAACAATGCAAGCTGGAAGACAGTGGAATAGCATCTTCAAAATACTGAAGGTTAAAAGTGTCAACCTAGGGATCTTAGTGAAAATATATTTCAAAAACTTTTTTAGTTATTATATTGTTGGTGGTAGATTTTGCATTGTTATTCTGAAGCTTTTGTATGTGTATTTCAGATAAAGCAAGTAAGTAATTATGTTGTTGTCATTAAGAATTGGAATTGTCAGCATAGGCTAAAAGAGGTATAGATGCTGCCCATGAGGTTGAGTGAGAACACTGCAGTCCTGACTTAAATTGAAAGTATTAATAAGAGCTCATGATATATTTTATTAAGAAAATACACGTTTATAGCTATGTTCACCCCAAAAGGATTAGATCAATGGAATAGAATTAAGAATCCAGTAAAAAAACAACAATACATCTGTAGTCAATTTATTTTTAACAATGATGACAAGACTGTGCAAAGGGGAAAGGATAGCCTTTTCAAAACATTGTGTTGGAAGAGCTGGATATCCACATGCAAAAGCATTAGTTTGGATCCCTGCTTCATAACATATAACAAAAATTGACACAAAATGAATCAAAGACCTTATTGTAAGAGCTAAAAGTATAGAACTTTTAGAAAAAAACAGGCATAAATCTTCATGACCCTGTATTAAGTAATGGTTTCTTAGATATTGCACCAAAAACATCAGTATCTTAAGAAAACGTAAATAAATTGGACTTAATCAAAATTAAAAACTTCTGTGCTTTAAAAGACACACAAGAAAGTGAAAGGACAATTGATAGAATGGGAGAAGATATTTGCAAATCCTGTGTCTGATAACAATTTATAACTTAAAATATCAATGCTGATCAAGGGTATCCAGAATATACAAAAAAGCTCTAATAATTCAATAATAAAAAGACAAGTCCCTAAGGAAAATATAGAAATGATCAATAATGACATAAGAGATTTAATATCATCAGCCATCAGAAAATGTAAACCGAAAGCACAATGAGATACCACTTTACACACACTGGGATAGCTAGAATAACAGAAAATCATGCAAAATAAATGTTGGTGAGGACATGGAAAACCTGGAACATTTGTCCATTGCTGATGGAAATGTAAAATGGTGCAGCCACTGTTGAAAAAGGTGTGGCAGTTCCTCAGTAAGTTAAACATAGAATTACCATATGACACAATAGTTTCACTCTTATATATATATACCCTAATAATTGAAAACAGGTGTTCAAACTAAAGTCTCTACACAAATGTCACAGCAGCACTAATCACAACAGTCAAAAACTCAAAGCAACCCAAATGTCCATCAGTTGATGAATAAACAAAATATGAAACAGAGTACACGGAACCCTTCTTAAGCTATGAAAAGGATGAAAGTTCTGATACATGCTGCAGTATGGATGAACCTTCAAAACATTATGCTAAGTGAAAGAAGCCAGACACAAAAGGCTATATGTGGTATGATTCCATCCATATGAAATATCCAGAGGCGGCCAATTCATAGAGATAAAGCATATCTGTTATTCCGAGGGCCAGAGGTGGACAGGAATGGGAAGCGATTGCTTAATGCTTGCAGAGCTTCTTTTTAGAGAGATGAAAAGTTTTGGAACTAGATAGCTGAGATTGTTGCAAAACATCATGTATGTCACCAATAGAAATTTTTAAATAGATATTTTAGCACAAAAACGTTGTAGACGATAGTAAACAGTGAATGTTATAATTCCTCTACAAGTTAAAAAAGTCTGGAGTGGGGAAGTAGGTAGAAGATATGGATGAAATGAGTTGGATCACAACTTGATAATTGTTGAAGATAAATGATAGATAAACATGGAGTTTTTTACACGATTCTATTTTGATTAGGTTTAAATATATTAATAATCAGAAACATAATCATATATACAGACACTTTAAAGATTGTATCAAGGAATCAGTAGATTTTGTTAATTTCTTGTTAACAGAACAATTAATGAAGACTAGGTCCTTGGGAAACAAGTTGCACGGGCTGTGGCTTCAACATAATTTTATGTGTAGTTGGATAGGCTGCTTTATCCAATTATATGGTATTATTTGACAATGCCACAGAATTAAGTTTAGAAGGACAAAATCAGTAGCGTAGTTGCCAAGTGAATATTAGTTTTAGAAATGATGGTATAAGCATAGATGCCTGAAAATTATCCAGGGCTTTTCTCAGTGCCTCATACGACGCACTTTCAATATGAGGTTGCTTATTGAATTAATGAATGCTCCAATATCTGCGCTTGGCCATATACCTCATAGGACTGTTGTGAGTAATTGAATGTTGTTAATTTGAGGGAATGCAAATTTCCTTATGGGGGGGAGATAACAACTGCTTTAAGTGTTTTGAATCAATTAATTGATTTCCAAAACAAAAATGGTGCTTTTCAAAACAGGTGACAAACTAGTTAGGTCACAATAAATTGTTAGACTTATTTTTTGTAATATCATATCAATCTGAATGTGTGGAACTAACCAGTTGCTGCGTGTCATGTAGCTGTGACCTGAGATTGTAATTTATATCTTAAAATATCAATGCTGATCAATTCATCTAATTTGGAGGCAAAAAAACTGTTGTCCATTATAAATTATTATTTGACAATGCCACAATTAAAAGTATTTTAAAATTAAGTATTATTTGACAATTATTGTCAAATAAAAACTATTATTTGACAATAATAATTGGGTTATTGACAATAACCCTAATGATATTATTATTGTTAAATAACTGTCAAATAATACTTCTACCTACTTACCCTAAATTAAATCAACTCATCTCCCTATTTTCCCTATTTTGATATATACTTCTTTTGGTTTTTTTTTTTTTTTTTTTTTTTTTTTTTTTTTTTGGACACAGAGTCTTGCTCTGTGGCCCAGGCTGGAGTGCAGTGGGGCCATCTTAGCTCACTGCAAACTTCGCCTCCGGAGTTCAAGCAATTCCCTTTCCTCAGCCTCCCTAGTAGCTGGGACTGCAGGCAGCAGCCACCATGTCCGGCTAATTTTTATATTTGTACTAGAGAGAAGGTTTCTCCATGTTGCCCAGGCTGGTCTCAAACTCCTGACCTCAGGGGATCCACCTGCCTCACCCTCCCAAAGTGCTGGGATTACAGGCCTATTTTGATACACATTTCTATACCCCGGCAAATCATTCAGAGCTTGAGGGTCCTTATTATGGCTACAGCTCCACCTGTTTGTTCTCTCTCCAGCCGGCCGCTTTGACTGAATGGCTGTGCTTTGTTCCTGATGATGCCATGTGAGAGTTCACAAGATGCTAGGTAAGCAGCCAGGAGCCAGCTTGCTTCAACACCGGAGACAAATCACCCCGGTAACCTCAGCCCAGCCTGCTGGCTGCAGCCCTTTTGTTCCCGCGCTTGCCTCCCTCAAAGCGTCCGCCCCCTTTCCGGTTCTAGTCACTCTCTAGGGCTTCCCACTTACATCCCGCGGTTTCCGGAACGGTGTGTCTATGGCTGCCTCTCGCTTCCAGGCAGCCGGGACCATTTTACCACTCTCCTTTCGTTCGCTGTTTACACGGCCTTCAGAATTACCGGGGATTTCTTTTGATCACTCAGGATCCAAATCATTTGTTTATCTTAAGAAAACAGAAACTAATTCTTACATACTGTAATGGTTTCCGGTTCCAGTCACTCTCTAGGGCTTCCCAGTCACATCCCGCGGTTTCCGGCACGGTGTGTCTGTGGCCGCCTCTGGGTCTTCCCGGTCACCTCCCGCGGTTTCCGGAAAGGTGTGTCTGTGGCCGCCTCTAGGGCTTCCAGGTCACATCCCGCGGTTTCCGGAACGGTGCGTCTGTGGCCGCCTCTGGGGCTTCCCGGTCACCTCCCGCGGTTTCCGGAACGGTGCGTCTGTGGCTGCCTCTCGCTTCCAGGCAGCCGGGATTATTTTCCCTCTCTCCTTTCGTTCGCTGTTTACACGGCCTTCAGAATTACTAGGGATTTCTTTTTATCACTCAGGATCCAAATCATTTATCTTAAGAAGATAGAAACTAATTCTTACACACTGTGATGGCCAACTTAGATGAACTAGATAACTTGCATGATTATAATGATACAGAACATTTGGACGTTAGATGAGGAAAGCCGCGTGTTCCCCCTCCATTTCACCTGAGATGTGACTGTCTGGGGAAACGGCCACAGCTGGAGCACGCGTGAGACATGTACAGAGGATGAGGCCCCGTGGAATTGTCTAGAACACCCCCACCTGGTCCTGTGATCCAAGGCCGAGCTCCACACTCCTACAGGCGTCATTAGCCTCTCATCAGCCACCATCAGGCCCAAGGATGACAGCAAATAGGGTCGCCAGCCAGTTTCTGCTCCAGAAACAGCGTTAGACTCACGGCACAATTTACTGGACGGTTCTTTTCCATTTTCGCCGAAGAAAATGCGACTAATGCCTTCCAAAGGAGGAAAAGGAAAATGAAACTAGTAACAAAAGATCCTGTTGGCTACAATTATATTAGGTGAAGAAATAGTGAGTATGTGTTTGTTTTTACCCGCTGTTTAGTAGAGCTATTTTCATATACACACACATATAAAGACATTGTTGAATTTTAGTACAGTACTTTAACATGATTTGGTTATACTAAAAATAAAATCTTTTCTTTTCCATATTTCATTGTGGTACAATTTCCTGTCTCAAAGAAATATGGAAACTTTTACTTGGAAGATATATAGTTAGAATTTCCTGTAATACTGAATTAGCTCCAGTCAAAATGAACTATTTTACACTGCCATTATTACTCATTTACCAAAAATACTTTGTTCTGGGTTTAATATTTTCTTAATACTTTTAACTTTCCAAAGCACCTTCTCATCAAATATCGTTTTTGGCCTTACAATAAGCCTGAGTTAGGCTCACCTAATATCTAACTAGATTTTTTTAAGCAACAGAAGCGAATGTCATTTGTTTATGATGCCTGTGTATGCCTTGACACTTTAAAAAATAATTCAGTAGAAAAATCACATTAAAAATCACATAAAAGACTTTTAATACCATACCTTGACAATAGATATGTCCATGCAAAGCTATGAGACTCAATTACAGTTTTATTATGATCTGATTATGATGTCAATGTAAATTTCTAAAAAGCTCTATCCAACTGTAATTTCAAGACAGTTTCATTGCATTAAGAAACAAAACAGTCAACATAGCGTTGCATTAATTTGGGGAGTTTTGACAGAAAGCTATAAAACAAAGGAATGTGACAAATCAAGTCAACCTAAAATTTGGCTTCCCTAAGAGTGGGGAGTATTATTGAAGCTCATAATTCCAAATATAGAGACCAGTGGGCGATGCCAAATGGAGCCTGGCGAACTTGGGCACAACTGGTTGGAATTAATTAACTTGCCATCTAGGAGCCTCACGTTGCTGACTTTCTGTATTGCTGGATCTGGTTCACACAATGATATGTAGCCCTTTCCTGCTACCCCACTATTGAAGCCAAGGGGGAGTGCTGCTGGCGGGTATTCCTTTCTCTAATTTGTTTTTGTTTTTTTTCTTCTTCTTCTTCTTTTTTTTTTTCCAACTCTGTGTATTTATGGGGTTTTAAAATACTATCTTTTCCTGTTTACCATATGTCAAATTCTACATGAACTGATAAAAACATGCAAAGGCCTTATCACTCTAATCTCCTAAAATAGGCTTGCTTCCCTCCTACCTCCTACACTTCATCAAGCCTTAACTACTAATTACTAACATCTAAAATGCTCATCTGACCGAACTGCACTATGTGTCCATTTTTAAAGACCTCAGTTCCATTATCCTCACTGATGTGGGCACCCAGGAAAAAACAAAAACGAAAACAAACCCAAAAAAATCCCTGTTTGTATTTTTCCATGATGCAGCTACTCAGCTCTGGGACAGTTCCGTATAATGAGTATTCCCCCCTCAAATATAATACGCTCTCTTTAAAACAAGCTAGCACCCTCCTTGCTACTGGAGCTCTGCTGCCTGGATTGACACCGCAGCAGCCGCCTTCATCAGAGCCTGCTGTGATGCTCCCAACTCCTCACTCCAGGGAGTGCTTCCCTGCTTGATGCTGGTAGCAGATTAAAGCTGTTCTAATTTTCCATCCAAGCCAAATAGATGCATAAGCAAGCTGTTAGATTGTCTCAGGATCAGCACAGTATACCAGCCCCGTGCTTTTTCAGAGCTCCACTGCAGTTAGCATATCGGTGAACATTTGCAAGTGAAATCATACGGGGAGGAGAGAGGAGGGAGGAAGTGGAAGACAGAGGTAGGAGAACACCACTCCCAAAGCCAAATGCAGATCCCTGCTGAAGTGGCAGTGAAAAGTCAAAAGGCACTCTACCAGAATTTAGTGAAAAACACATGCAGTAAACACTGAAAAATACCGCTTATTGAGAAAAAGGAAGAGAGAAGCATGGAGGATCATCTCCTTGCATTTATAGTAAAAAAACAATTTGTCATGCTCTGTTCCGCATAAGACTCTCTGTCCAAACAGACAAAGGGGAAAACAGAATTGTAAGGCAGCTCGGTCATTACAGGCTGAAAGCAACTAAGGCCTATGCTCTGTGAGCCAGTCGCAGGTCACTACAGATGCCCACCTGGGATTTGGGGCTGGGAGTCCAATTTGAATTTATCTCCCAACCCCTTACTCAAATAAAGCTCATGATGGAATTGCCAGTAAAGATAGCAGTCAGTTATGTAAATGAGATAAAGTGTCCATTGCACAGTATGAATTTGGATGTGACACATTGCCAGATTTGGAGAAAAAAGTAAGAACCAACATGGTAAAATGCAGAAAGGCAAAGAAAGTTTAAATCAACAGAAGCATAAGAAACATGCCTGCAGCTCAAAGTGCTGAATAAATGGGGTGAAGATGAGGGAGAGATAATTACATGCCTTGTTAGAACTAGTTTTTATCATCATTGTGTTAAACATTTATAATAAAAGCCCAGGTGCACGAAGCATTCTGCTGAGTGTGGTACAGAGCAAGACACACAGATACTCTTTATCCCTTGCAAGACTCTCTACAGAGAGAGCTGGGAATAGAATGCACACAAATGCTATTCGTGACAAAAAAGGCTCACCAAATCATTGACTGTGGGGCTTCCCACGATGAGATTTCTCCTGCACAGGCAATATGCACTCCTAAACAAAATGTGAGCATAACATTTTAAAAGGAGACCCTACCTACAAAGACTGCACACTAAAAAAAAACAAATGTGAAAGTATTCTATAAATGAAAGAAATGAATATATATTAGCCTTAGTGGGTAGAAATGTGTACTCCTTCCCACAAAATATGCTGAAATGCTAACCTGGGGTACCTGTGAATGTGATCTTATTTGGAAATAGGGTCACTGCAGTGAAGTCAAGGTAAGAGGAAGTCGTGCTGGAGTAGGGTGGGCCTTATTGAAAGATTGAAAGAGAAAGACACACAGACACAGAGAGAAGACAGCCGTGTGATGGCAGAGACAGAGGTTGGGAGGATGCAGCCACAGGCCATGGAGTGCGGAGCATTGCTGGGAGCCACCAGGAGCTGAGTGAGAGGTAAGAAGTGTTCCCCAGAGCCATAGGAGGAAGACACCCCTGATGGCACTTTGGTTTCAGACTCTCAGCCTCCAAAAGTGTAAGGATATATTTCTTTAGTTTTAAGCCACTCAGGTTGTGATACATTGTTATGGCAGCCCTGGGAAGCAAATGTGTTTAGTAAAGTCAGATCTGCCCTAATTTGATGTCCAGCTTTGCAAATTTTACTCCGTGTATACAAAGTATTTCAACTGCAGTAAGTGTCTGACCTTATAATTTAAAAATTGCATTCCAGTGCAAGTGATGGCCTGAGTGCAGGTTTTCCATGACAGGTTAGCTTTTTACTTCCTCCTCTCTCAAGTACCCTGTGCCACCAAGATATCCATCCCAAAATAGGCCAGTGCCACCCAATGAGCCATCACAATGCCCATCTCCTGAATGAGGTTTGCCCTAGCTTTGCCATGATCCTCCCCACAGAACTTCAGCTCAAGTTCATTCTTCTCATTCTCCTATCTGATAGCTTCATCCTTAGAAGCTCCTTTTCATTTTTGTCCCTCCTGTCTAGCTGCCAATGCTAGCAAGGATGTAGTGAAATTTAAATCTCTCAAAATTCTGAAAAGATGTGAGTTGGTTTCTTTCTGCAAATCAGTAAGATGATGCAAGAGCTTTAAATGTGTTCATGATCTTAGGACCTAATAATCTTCTTCCTAAGAACCTTCATGCAAGAATCAAATGTCATGCAAAGCTGTTCATTTCAGAGTTCTATCTCTCCAGTGTCCTCCTTCACTAGTGCAGAATCCAGTGCCTGAGAGGGCCTGTTACTGGGGGCATCCATGAGGAGCATCTGCCATTAGCTTGTGAACACACCAATCAATTATTGGTGCATATCCTCATTTATTCCTCTTCTCTTGGTCCTTCCTCAACATATTTCCAGCAATGAGCGTTGTCCCAGCACGACTCCCTTGAACACTGAAGTTCCTCCAGGCATCATCATCACTTTGACCAGGGGCTATGGCCCAGCGGGGAGCAGCTGCTAGATGGGGGGCCTCATCCACAGTGCAGTGCTGAGCGCACTGCTGCCATTTCCACTGTGCCTAGCCACTTTTGTGCAAAAACCCTCAAGGCTGATGGAAGGGAGCCAGAGAGAGGTAGGGAGAATAATAATCCAGTCTGACTTGTATTCTACTCTACTGTTTGAGTCTCACAGAGCTATAGGAGGAAGCACCGCTACCTGGGCTCTATCTCATTGCTATTGCTCAAATACTGGTCTATGGAAGGCCAAGGGGAACAGCCAGGAGAGAGAACTCCGGCAGCCCCTTCCTCCCCTTCAACAACGATGGCCTTGACATCCAGTGATGTGCTCAGTCTCTGGTGGAACTGGACTCTGTCTGGCCCATCCCACCACAGGATGGACACAGCTCATTGGCGCTCATCCCACATAGCTACAATATCAGCCAAAGAAAGAGTGACAGAAAGTAGATTAACCCATGTGATGGAATAGCATTTATCCATTAATGGTACCTCTTTTTAATAATGAATTTAAAAGTTCCTGTTACATATTATGTGAGAAGAGGATTCAGAATTATGTACCAAGTAAAATCTCACTTATTAAGAAATATATATATATATACACACACACACACACACACGCATATATTTATACATAGAAAAATAAGCTAGGAAGAAATACACCCTAACATTAACAATCACTATCTC